AAACCTGGCACAGCTTCATTCACTGCATTTATAATCATTTCTCATGATATCAGTGGGTTTGATGCTTGTGATAAATGCCAGTCTGCCCTTGAATCAAACATGACAGCGCTGGGGGGTGGGGTCTACTCTGGATCCCCATCACTGATAAACAGATGATTTGCTGTTTGTTCTTTCACCAAAAGGCATGTTCCTGGGAAGGATTATTGATATTATTGGACAGTATTAATCCCATCAGTAACTTAAATGATAAAGAAATGGAACAGCTGAGAGACCTACATTCATGTTTACAGAACTTGTCTGAGAGAGTCAAATCATTGTTCATTATTAGGAGAGTAACGACATATCGAACAATCGCATTTGTTTGCCCTACGATAGTACTATATCGATGTGGCAGGTATGAATTACCACGTATACAGGTTGTTGTCATTTCAGTTATAGTTGTGACTCTAACAGTATCATCTTTAAACGTTAGTCTATAGTTATAGGCTTGTTCATTGGCTTGTTTTAAAATACTAAACGCTACTTGCACGTCAGCCATTGCACTTCACAACAAACAGATCACGTCAACGATCGCATCTCAAAGCACTTAGGACTTAACAACAAATCTAAAGGTAAGTATAATGTTTTAAGGGTTGTATATAATTTGTTAAGTACTGATTAATAATGGTATTGACGTAAGTGAGAGAGTGAGTATGATTTTACGCCGCTTTTAGCAATATTCAAGCAATATCATGGCGGGGGACACCAGAAATGGCCTTCACACATTGTAACCATGTTGGGAATCGAACCCAAATCTTAAAATTCGGCGTGACAAGCAAACGCTTTAACAACTAGGCTACCCGACCGCCCCGGTATCTACGTAAATTAATTATCTAGTGTGTACTTGAATGTATAATCGTGTAACTGTGTATATTTTGTGCAATTGCGTTTATACATAAGTTTAATACTGTTCAGCATTATGTACATAATGCATATGCTTTATGAATTAATGGACGAATGATAGAGGTATGACCTGACATTTCATGGACATTATCGTCATGAAGTTCATTAGCAATGAATACAATACCAGATTCAATTTTATTTGTTTATATGTGCGCAGTTAGAATATTCTGAACTTGGTTTGTTTATTTCTACAGCAGTGCCATTTTCCTCCAGAGGGAGTGGAATAATCTACACCCCAGTGTCACCCACAGGGTCTGAAACTAATTATTGTGTTATAAATATTGCAAATGTGTTAGATACATAGTTTCTCTGTCTTTAGTATTCAATTTGTTTATCGTTCATCGCATCGTGTACGTTAGTATGAAGTATTTGCCTTGTGTTTGTCTTATCAAGAAGTTATCGTTCTTGGATGGTTGCCACAATTAAAATGTGTTGATGACAATGTCATTATTTCTGTATAGTATTATTTATTGTGTATGTTTTCTAAGGAACTATATTAGAATTACTCCTTTTATAACTGAAATGGTTTGTGATATTAATTTGTTGTATTTATTGATAAATGTGTATATGCTAATTCTGAACTAGTGTTTATTCCCTATACATGTGTGTCAGGGTGTCTATCTGTCAATAGACAAAGAAATAAGGTCTCGTAACCTGGGTCTGGTCTTCCTGTACACCTACACAATCCTGGTTACATCCACAGGAATGTTTAAATGAAAGTAATGATACATCGAACTATCACAATTGTTTGCCCTACGATAGTACTGTATCAATAGGACTTTATCGTCGCTAGTATGTATAACATGTATGTATAGTATGTGTGGTGGGTAAGTAAGGATTATGACATCATCAGATTAGAGTTACATTCCTTTGATAGAAAAGTGACAGGGAGGAAAATTGTCGTCTGTGAGATTGTCAGTATTATACTATATTCATTACATTGATCGATATAATTATTAAGCCTTAAAGTTGGTTTAATTATATCGCAATACTATTGAAATAGTTGACAATTTACTCAAAATTAAATACGTATCCAAGGTTCCACACAACCGAAAAATAAACATGGCATACATTTACGGATTGGCAGGAAGAAGGAATAACACAAAACAAATGCAAGAAACAATGGGTCATGAAATATATGTCCACTTATCAAATTAAATTTGTAAACATTTGTAAGAGTGAGTGAGTGAGTTGGGTTTAACGCCGCTTTTAAAAGTATTCCAGTTATATCACTGCGTGTCAGCTTCATGCGGGAGGAAAGCCCTAAGTGATGCAGGTTTCAGAAGTTTACCACTTCAGGGAAACCCATGAGCACGGGTATGGTGCTGACAAACCTAGAAACATAATCAGGGCGAACCGGGATTCGAACCCACAATCATGTTTCCGGCGTACCCAAGGGACGCAACTCTGCACAGGGAATCACGGCCCCCATGCCCCCCAAACATTTGTAAGAATTACTTTGAGGCAACTGTAACTTGGACATATCAGATACAACACATCCAAGGTTAAATACTGAGGAATAAAAGAGGAATAACTGTTTCATTGGCATTTCAGAAGTTGGTGAGTAAGAAAACATACAAGCACACTCCTGCTTGATAACGGTGTAAGAATCTACATCGCAACGTTGCAATAAACCATAAGTTTTTATCCAAAAAGTATGTTTTCCTAAAAGAGGAATACCAAGCTTTTACAATCTCATTAAAATCAGATCCGAGTTCCCACTACCGCTAAACAAGGATCCGAAGACATCCCATTTAGGGTCACGTCAGAACGACCTTTCATCCGACCAATCAGTGCATCACTTACCAGATTATGAAAGTGACTGTCAGAATATGATTTCTAATCATGCAATCTCGAAAACTTTAACATGGGGTATTCCCAACGATAGTTATGGGTATAATGACTGAATCCTCATATTCTAGACCATCTATTAGTCATTCCAGAATGTTGTTTTGTTCAGGTTTCTAATTTGTAATCAAGAATTTGTCAAAATATGTTTCGAAACATAATCGCCAATTTGAAATTTGTGCCGTAAAGCACGAGAAAGCTGGTTTATGATTGGTCATTCCATTGGTCGGTCAAAGTTCGCGCAAGATCGGTCTGATGTGACCCGTAATGGGATGTCCTCAGATCTTTGTTTAGCGGTAGCAAGAACTAAGGTCTGATATTAATGAGATTGAAGCTTTTACTTCGTGACAACCATAACTGACAGATCAAAGTGTGACATAAGTGTTTGTTGAGAGCTTGTTATGTATGTCATTGTTTCTGCCCATGTTCAGTGAACTTGACATGACAATCAACTCCAATATGTCAAGATTTTTTTTGTCTCTGTATCAATGTGAGCAAGGGCACTTGTCACATGAATTTCAAGCTTGCATTAGAATCCTAGTTTACAGTATCATAGCACAATGCTGATGACTCAAGAGTAAAGAAATTGTTTGAACTCCACTTGAACATTAATCACTCTAAAACTCTCAGGTATTTAAGTCTCTTGCCCTTAACCACCAGTCTCAATACCATCAAGGTGCAAGGTGTCACCTCGATCCTTAGATTTCATGATAACAACATAAAGAGATAAGGTTGCCTTTTAGCTCAGCAATTTCGGCTGAACCGCCTCCTCTATGAGAGTGAGTAAGTTACTTAAGTAAACTACAGTTATGATGAACTCAAAGGGACTACTAGTTTTAGTTTGTTATAACCGTACTTTGTTATAAGCATATATACAGAAAAGGGTCGGGACCAAAAAACAGTACATTATATCCATCAGTTCATTATAAGCATGTTCGTTATAAAAGTAGTATAGTGTATATCTACTAGGAGTAACTCATTTTTAGTATTGATAAGATTTAATGTTTGGCGCACAACTAAGATATTTTGTTGTAATCGCTCCAGCTTGATAAATGTGTAAGAATCTACATAGAAACGTCTCTAAGTGCAATAAACAAGCAGTTGTTATTGATAAAGTTGTTCGTTTCCTTATTTAGCCAGACATTAAGTTAACAGAATGGAAGTGAATACATTATGATCAAACTTTCTTTTCTGTGGCACAAAGACTTCACATCAAAGTGGAAGTAACAAAATCTGCTCCAAGTAATGATGTTACAGAATTACTGCAGTTCTGACTTAAGTAATCCGGTTGCTTCAGGAGTTACACACAAAAACAAACTAAAAGCTTGCTACACACAAAGAAAAATAATATATCGCAAACAGCACTAATGACCACTTCAGAAATAAATACAATAAGTTTGCAAATGCATTCTCATTATTTCTGACAATGAAAGGAAATTTTGATGAATTGTAAGATGTCTTTAAAGAGAGACACCAGGTCAGAGCTGACTACTGCAGGATAAAGCATGTCTGGATCAGTTTGCACATCTGCCTGCCTTGGCCTGTGCAGCTCAACCCATTTTCCACAGTACAGTTGGCTCCATAAGCAGACTAATTTCCTAATTACACTCCGGAGAGACAATGACAGGATGGCGGCAGGAAGTATTTGTCTGCCAAATGCTAACATTAATCCTGCTATCGGGTAATCAAACATCAGCACGCATTCCATCACAACAACCAGCCATCCAACATGCCTACATTCACTAAACCCCCATACATTTAATTTTGTCTAACAAAGGTCCGACGCGCCGTGCTTTTATTCTGATTTTCAAAGACAAAGGCTTTGAAATTTCATCTGAAGTCTTCCCTTAGGTAATAAATGATCCCATTCTTGGTGTTTAATGAGAAAAGGGAACAAATAAAGGCTGATCGCTGCCAATCTGTATTGATCCTCCACACAATTATTTAATATAGAGGAAGTGCCTAGCAGTAACTGTAGTAGCGGAGTGATGAAGTCTTGTTATAGATAGGACATATGTGGATTGTAATGCAGTAAGCAACAAGGGATGGTGGGGAACATCATCGCCCCATCATAAAGACTAACCATCATCGCCAGCTTCTCATTGGCTGCGGGGGAGCAATATCACCAAATTGAAGGTAATGACAAATACTAAAGATCAAACCCATTTTCACTTGATCGATGGAGTATGGGAGAGAACCGAGAGAAGAGTTCACACAGAAACAGACGCCGACTGCGGTGTGTTCACGTACAAACCCGCAGGACATTTGCTGATATTTCTCACTTCAATGTACACTGAATGATTCCCAATTGATGCAACTTCCAGAATGTGCCCAATTGCTCCTCCCTTTCATCTGTACCATTAGATGAACTGCAACTGTAGCTGAAATAGTTTTTAATGTGGAACCTTTAGCCACGTTAATACCTTCATCTACCAGCTATAGAGAGTAAGAGATGAGTTTTTGTCAGTGTCGTGGATGTTCTGCCATGCATGGGTATTGATCCGATCCGTCACTTGGGGTGATACAACTTGAAAGGGACATCAGTCGGAGAGGTGACCTCAGGCTGCTGGTGACCCCTCACTCCTGGCAATCAGAACTGCTCAGAGCGCTTCACTGCATGGCTGGCAATAGGCAAGGCGGGAAATCTGGTGTCAGCTAACGACAAACAGAGGACGTCTGCCAACCTTTACTCACTTGACTGAGGCTGTCATTCACACAACGGGAAACAGACACCTTTGATCGCAATTAATGACTTCATATTGTGTGATTGAGTTCATTTTCCACCACTGTGACACGTGGGTAACCCACGCCTGTGGAACTGTGGCCTAGCAACAGATTACAGCTCATGTGATGTAACAACTCTTGTGATATCCAAGCAGCTCAAAGTGTCATGGACTAAAACATCAGGCAGAATCTGGAAGGCAGTTTCCTTGAGAAGAACTCTTCAAAACTAAACATTTCCTCAATGGAAGAGACAAAAGAAAGGCACGTTCGACATTTTTGACACATAAACCTGTAGAGGCCCATTAAAGGATGGTACTTGCTGAAGAACTCTAATCGGCACTTCAACATTCTGGCAAGTTCTTAATTGGACAAAGTGAGGATAGTAATTGCCACAACCTGGAAAGCTAGGTCTGAGTCATATTCTGACTGTGACAAGTGGACCTAATCTGACCTCCTCTGTTGCCCTGCACACTGCGATCTGGGGAATTAAGACCGGTATTGATTGTCTGACCACTGTCCAACATGATCTGAGACAGTGCTGAAACTCAGAATTGAGAGGCATTTTTCTTGCCTTCAAACTGTCTGAATCTGATGCTATGACAGCTTTATAAATTGTGGAGAAAGCCCCCTTACAGGTAAGAATTATATGTGACACAAAGCTTTCTGGAAAATATCAAACCCTCAATTACACCAAACTTATCTAATTGTGGCCCTGCTTGTAAACACCACTGTCTCATCAATTATTCAGTCATATGTCATTAACCTAACTGGCACTGATTATCCGAGCACATGTGATATGGTGATGTGATCAGTGCCAGGTCTTCACAAGATGTCCACGATGCCAATGTTCTTGACGACAGGACATATTTAGAAACTTGAACATGTAGAATTACCATCTTTAAAGCTGTAGCTCAAATATTTGCGATCCACTCATTAAAGCCAGATGCAAAGCCAGATAATATATTATTTTGAACCATGAGCATAATAATTTTGGGGAAAAACACCTTGTAACACTTGGAACAATGTCAATTTTGTGGCAGACAATTTCCTATTTTCAACATCCGGAAGCAATAGTATTGTTTTCACAAATTTTCTGGGACAATTTATTTTTTTCCATAAAATCACGGGGCACCCCACCCCAACACAACCAACCCCATTTCAAATAGTCGGTCCCTAAGACTTTAAGTAATCTAAACAGAATATCCTTTAGAATATGTACAAACCTCATATTTACTATTTTGTTTAACTTGTAGACAGTTGTCTTACAAAGTGATAATTTTTATAAACTTTTCAACAACATACCAAAAGTACTAAAACATACAAAAAACATGTTCATCTTTAAAAAAGACATTAGTTGCAGGTTGAAGCTGTTTCAGTTATTGATTGCCTCTAAGAATACACGGAAAAAAGACCACCATACCTCCATTAATCAGTGATGATTTAGCTCCCTTTATCCAATTACCATAGGCGTACACATGCTATGCCTCTTTCCCTCTCAACTTGTCATCTGACAGACAGAGTCTACATTGTTAGTGCTGAACAAGCATTGCTCACAGCTGTTTCGTAATGGAGGAATCACAGGACACAACACATGCCCTCAGTCTATTAGATTAAGTATTCCAGACTGTAACCTTTTCCATGCATTGCAATGACATGGAACTGTGTCGTCTCACTTAAATTTCACATGGCTTGAATTGTGAACTACCATGGCACGAGAGTATCTTCAAAAGCACTCTGACATTCTTCAACACTGAGTGAGTGAGTTGTGATAACGCCGCTTTTAACAGTATTCCAGTCGTATCACGGCATGTCAGCTTAATGCGGGAGGAAAGCCTGAAGTGATGCAGGTCTCAGACGTTTACCACTTTGGTGAAACCCAAAAGCACAGGTATGGTGCTTACAAACCTAGAAACATAATCGGGGCGAACCAGGATTCAAATCCTCAATCATAGGTTTCTGGCGTGCCCAAGGGATGCAACTCTGCACAACGAATCGTGGCGCCTTAGACGACTGGGACACCCGTGCCCCCCTCCAACATTGACAGCAATATCAGATCTATGGAAGGCAAGGCCAACACAGACACTTGCCAGAACTTCAAGTGACATCATTCAATACTTTTAATACCATATATAACATATACCATATCTAGGCATGCATTTTTCAATTCATTCAAAATAAAAGAAATTTGTAGAGCTCAAAATTATATATTTTATTTACGATGAAGTTAAGGGATAAATTGCTAATACTGTTTAAATTGCATTATGTGAAAAAAAATTAACCATAATATTGACATATGTACATGTATTTAATTGGGAGAAGTCCTTGTCCCTGTCATGAGAGGCTGCCTCTGTGACATATTATGTAAAAAATTAATCTCATTTGTATAATTTCTATTTTTCTAATCCATCCAAGATAGAGCGGTGTGGCAAATGAGAACAAAGTTATACTCATTGTATTTGAATATGATTGTGATTTTTGGCACCTGTCAGTCAAAATGAACTGTAATATGTACAGTGTCAACCAATTCACATCCCATGTCTTAAGATGAAGTATGTCCAATGGTATAGTCCTATCTAATCAGTGTTGGAAGTTAAGCATGAAAGTCAAGAGGTCCCTGTCATTACTCTAATGTTAGATTCAGGGGTCCTTAAACTAAATCAGGACAGCCGAAAGTCTAAATCAGGATCTCGGTCCCTCCTAATTTCTGCCACAGCTAATAATTTAAGATGTCTAACGAGATCGGTCTGTGATTGAAGACTTTCGCCTTTGGCATCAACTTTAAGATGTCAGTTGTATAATTTTTGGTATCACTGTGCTACTAGAACTGTCATGTATAAGAAAGCCTCTCACAACATATATTAATGCAGTATTGCAACATTTTGAAAGATGCAGCTTAAAATCATAGACTAAACTTCAAATAGGAAAAAACAGTGTCATATACATCAAAAAATGAAATAAAGCCCATTTTATGACAACTGCATACTGGACAAGCTTTCTTTAAACTACGACATCCCTGGATTGTAACCTAGCTTGTTTCTGGATGTCCTAACCCTGTATGATGCCATCAATGGAATAGCACTACACATTACAATATGTATGTTTGTTCATTAGCTTGAAGGAGGGGTGAGGGGAAATGGGGTTCAACGTCGCGTTCAAGAGTTGTTGACAGTTAACCTGAAAACACTGTAATGTCAAAACATTTTTCCCATTTCATGTAATTGTGTTGTTCAAACACCTAAAGTCATCAGGCTACAGAGACAATGATGTGCACAGAAATGAGACCACCTCAGGTCATGTATGTGGATGGAGAATGCAAAGATGGGTGTCAATGTTACTGATGAGCCTTCTACATCTCTGAATAACAATTCATATAAGCACACAGGAAGTGGCAACCTGAGTGATATGGCATTTGGACCCAAATGACAAAAAGAAATACCTTCTTCTTACTGAAATACTTAATTATAGTGTCAAGTGGATATCCCCACCCACTGAAGGTTAAAACTTGAAAAATGTGGACCACCATTGTAAAATATAGTGCTACGGCACTGTAGCTCACCTGGATATGAACAGTTTGATATATCAACAAAGACTGGGACTTTATGTCAGTGTTGATAGTTAAATATTCAAACATATGTTGAATCTCACAACAAACTAAACAAATACCAAAGTTTGTACAAAAATGGCCAAGTAATGGCAATAAATAGCTTTTTCAATATGGCTGCCATGGCGGGAAATCGGATTCAAACCTCTTGAGCTCATTAAGCTTTCATCAATTCTGGGAAAAATCATGTGAAGGTTGACCTTTATTGGTCCATTGGATTCTGAGGAGATAATGTCTACATTGCAAGGGAATGCATTCTGAAAGAATTTTGAAGCATGGTCAATTAAAGATCAAAATGCAAAATATTGTGAAAAACAGAACATGTGTATTGAGTCCAATTACTAACTACACCTGTACCAAATCTCAAAACATTTTGAAAGAAAAGGTTGAGTGATGGCCACAGAAAGATTCACCTTTCAGTACGGTGTGTTTGAACCTCAAGGTTAGATCAAGGCCACAATTTACGATATAAAAACATCGCAAAATGGAACATATCATTACATGTTGAGCCCAATAACTAGCAACATATGTACCAAATTTCATGATGTTTTGTAAATAAATAACCATGTCATGGCCATCAATGGGCTTTTCAATATGGCAGCCATAATTGAAAAACAGATTCCAACCTCTTGAACAAATTGGGGCATCATTGTTGGTGGGAACCAGTATGTGATATCTCAGCTTCACTGGTTCAGTGGTTTCCGATAAGACTAACTTCAGTCAGGTGAGCTAAAAGCCGTGGATCTGCCTCTGTACAGGTAAATGATATTCATACAATTCAAGTGAATTAACTTTCATAGGCCATTTAAAGTTTTTGCAAGCATCCAACTAACTTTGTTAAAAATAATACAATCTATGTTTATGTTTTTGTGAATGTAAATGAATAATTAATGAAGGCCATTCTGCGAAGTAGATCAAATTGAGAGCTGCTTGTGAGTTGCCATAGAAACATGACCTGAGAAGGCGAGGGTTATTACTAAAGGGGTCCTCTGGCATTCACTAGATGGCTAGATGGCTAGATGCACTGCTTGGGAGACAGTCCCAATCACATTAATCACTTGACCATCAGATCAAATATTCAAGCATGCACATGGCCCAGATCACAAGTCATGTATCCATGGTACTATGGAAGCTTGCATCAGGTGAACAGAGGTAGGACATTGTTTCTGTTATGTTTCTGTCTTGTTTTATACATTTTCTTGATCAATTTGACAAGATGCATGAGGTCAATTTAAAAAAACAAACAGTCTTGTATAAATTATTGCCTTATTTTGAATCTGAATTTTGAAACTATTGATAACAAGAACACATTTTACTTTCACTGTATCAAATGCTCTTGGATAACAGATATACCATTTTCTTATTCACAATTAAAAGCTCCAACATGCAAATTCCAAATTGCATCTTTTTGAATTGTTTTGTTACTGTATCTAAGTTCTCATCCTCATTACTGAAAACGCAACCAGGACCAACATAGGTTATTGTAACGTCATGTCTGCAGAGACCCTGTGAAGATCCGGGTTAGAAGTGGTCTTCAGCAACCCATGCTTGCTGACTTGGTTAATGCATGTAATTGAATCCCAATAGCGTAGATCGATGCTCATGATGTCAACCAGTGGAATGTCTAGTCCAGGCTCAATTATTTACCTACCGCTGTCATATAGCTGGAACATTGCTGAGTGCAGCATTAAACAACAAATGACCAAACAAACAGGGCTCCAGAAAAGTTTCTCAGCCAGTGAATATTTGCTCACATGTCATCATTCACATTAAGTGTTTCACGGTTTTCTCCAAGTATTGAATATATTTTTACTCCCTTGGGTCCAGTCTATTAGGTATTTTTGAATCAATTAGAAGACATTCTAAAAATAATTCTGCTTAAATGCTGTTTCAGTTATATCATTAAATCGATAAATGTCCTGTTGGCTTAAAAACAATAAAAGAATGGTTCTCAGGCAATGGTTTTTGAAAATATAGTGTGGGCGGGTGGTGTTCAAACTAGTGAGTGTGTGAGTATGGTTTTACGCCGCTTTT